TGTTTTTTGCAACTTAAATTGTGAACCCATGAAATTTTATTGGCTTCTTTTTAAGTGCATCAGCATTTCTGTTGTATTTATTCTGCTAAATTACCTTGACTTTTTAATTGAAAGGCAGTTTATTTTAATTTTATTATCAGTATTACTGAAAGTCATGGAAATATTTAATGATCATGTATCTTGAATCTCTCTGACAAGCAGGAAATTATCTTGTCTGCCTGACTTTCAATAGATGACATTCACCCACTGGATATATCAGACTCTAAACTAAAAATTCAAATGGAACTCCAATTCAGACTTGTAACAATCAGCTTCTACTTTATTCATGGCTTAGCACACTGGAGAATGTATTAAATCAGTCCTGACACAGCTGTCTTTCTTCCATTCTGATAGTAAGATGTTTTAACCTTTCCTCTGTAGATGATTTTGATTTTTTGGTTTCTGCAATAACAAGTGATGGCAGCATATCCATCCAGTGTTTCAAAAAATCTTCTGGATCGTCATTTTTTATTTTGAGACAAGAACTCACTAAATTGCCCAAGCTGCCTTTGAATTTTAATTAGCCTTCCTCAGCCTCCTGAGAAATTGGGATTCCAGGTATTGGCCACCGTACTTAGCAATACCTTACTAGTCTGAAATCTTATCATCCGTTTACTCTAATTATCCCATATAAAATAGCTCATTTACTGTATGTATTATAGGAATTCTAATAAATGATGTAGAAATGTTTATGTCAAGGCTCCTACACCAGGCCTGAGTTGTAAGGCTACCAGATTTAGATGTTGGCTCTTTGGCCAACTCATTGGTGATAAGTCTCTGAATCAATAAGCATAACACACATACATGAAGTAGAGTTGGGTCAGCTGTCAATGCATTAATTTACTATCAAATATTTCTTATTATTTTGTTAATCAGGTAAGATAGACACATAGTAAAAAGTCACATTGAAATAGGAAAAAACAAGTATAGAGTGACAGTGTTTTATTTTCTTGTGGCCTTAAACTTCCCTCTAGAAACAACCCTGATTGCCTATTTCTTCTACACTGTACTAAATAAGTATGTACATTTACAAGTACTATAAAATGTATGTATCTGTTCTGAAAATATAACATACTTTTTAGCATCTTTTTCACTTATTTTAGATATCATAATGTTGGTATAGTTTTCTCATTTTTAATGGTTGCATAACATATTGAATATTTTATGAATCTTTTTAACAATTAATTCCCTGTTGGTGGATACTGACGATGTTTTTGATTTTCTGTGCTGCAAACCATGCTCAAGTATATGTTTCTTGTATAACTATACTGACAAAACTGTAAGATAAATACCTACAAATGGAACTGCAGTCAGATAAAGTGCATTTGTTTTGATAGACTTTTCCAAATCACCAGAAGATGAACTATTTACAGTTTACATTTCCATCAACAATTTTAACTACAGTAGAAGTCTTATCTTTCCCATGCCCATTATTTATGCCCCTCCAAATCCCAATGTTAGGTATAAGGAGCTGGAACCTGGGTGATTCCTAATGAGCATGCAGTGAGCGCTAAGGTAGCTGAACAGCCCCAGGGGTTTTCAGAGCACCCTGGCTCACCAGTGGTTGCTCTTGGACCAGCCCATGCCTCTTATTTTTTTTCTTTTTAAATTAGTACATGTAGGGGCTGGGGATTTAGCTCAGCGGCATAAGCGCCTCCCTTGCAAGTGCGTGGTCGTGAGTTCCATCCCCGGTACCGATAAAAAAAAAAATTAGTAAGTGTGTATATGCAGTTTATGGTCATCTTGGGTTATGGTTGATACTGAGTGTCAGTTAGAAAAGTTAAAAAGTTTAATGGAAGAGATTCAGCAGGGAGCCACAGTCATTACTTTGTGAATATCCTCATCCTGTGCAAGAGGAGGGCACAGAGATTTTGTGAGTGCTATACCTGCCCTGAGAAAGGCAGGGAGTAGAGAGAAGAGGTTTGTTTTCCACTTTTGTTTTAGCTGCTTTTGCTGGCTCTGCCTTAAAGTGTTGCCCCAGTGCCAAGCCACCCTGCCTTGGAGCCAACTGATTATGGAATGAAACCTCCACAAACAGTGAGCTAAATAAACCTTTCCTTCCTTCATTGTGGGTGTCGGGGGTTTTGTTCCTGCAAGGAGAGAAAAGTAACCGAGACACTTGGGGCACGGGTACAAGTACGTAATAGAGATCAGTTTTTAATTCCCTTCCCTCTCACCTTGCTCCCTCTTCCTCTAATCCCTTTTCCCCACTTTCATTCTTGTTATTGTTAATCTTATCTCATGTTTATGACATACAGTGCTTACATAGGTATTAGGTTCCTGGACATGGTATATCTTTATTCTCCCCGCCCCCACCTTTGCCCTCGGTGGTAGATTCTGACAGTCTGGGGCTTAGCTATTTCTAACATGACATCTGCCCAACTTAACACCTGCCGGAGAAACAGTTTCTCCCCAAGACTAACTTTTGTGTTTTTCCCAATTCTGGCTCAGAAAAAACCTCCCGCCCCCTTTTTGCACGTGTGCTGAGCCTTCTCTAACCCCAAGACTCCACAACCACCCGGTGCTCCACCCCAGCCCCTGGTAAACCCTTCAGTTTCCTGTTTTGCCAAGCAGGTGCTCCTTCAAATCGGAGGGTTTGTCTTCTTTCCCACCTCCCAAGCTCCTCCCCCAGCCAGACCTGATAAAAGTCCTTGCACTCCTTTGTTCTCTCCTGAGGGTGCTGGGGCTCTTCTGCAGCCCTCCTGGCCCACAGTAGAGGCCTCTCTTCTCCTTTGTCTCTGCCATGCCAAAATCTCAACACTCCCAGACCCCTTCCCTATGCTGCAGATCTGTCCCCTTATTTTATCACATATAATTCTGTATAGATTATTCAGTTATATACAGATTTTTTTCAATTATTACATTTTAGTTTTCTTCATTATGATTACATGTAAAGGTATAGTTCTTTCTGAAATAAAAACATAGAAAGGATTACTTCTATCCATGTTTCCTAAAAACAGCTAATTCCATTAGTAGTATAGATGCCTATACTAAACAGTAGCACTTGCTGCTTTAAGAGCTTACCTTTTCTTGTTACTTATTTCAGTCTTGTTTTAAATTTCTGGGCTCAGCTGTGTTTAGGTCAATAGTCCTCTCTGCCCTGATTATCACTAACTGATCAATAAATTACTGTAAAGTGTTTTGAAATAGAATACTCAATATAAGCAATCAGTGACTGTCCATCCCTAGATTTTGTAATGTACTACTAACGAGTATGGGTTAGATTTACATGATCAACAGCTAGCAAATATTAGTAAGTGAGCAGTGCTGGGTTATGCTTTGTTTTTAAAAATCTCTTGAACCTGTGGTGTTACAGGCCTAGAATCCCAGCACTGTGTGAGGCCGAGGCAGGAGGACTGAGGATTCTAGCCCAGTGATGGTTACCTTTGAGAACTTCCAGCTCTAAGCAGCCTCCTGTAGCATGCATTCCATATGTTCACCACCACCGCTCTAGCCCGCCCTGCACAATTTAGTGACTTATTGAGACCCTGTTGCCAAAAAAAAAAGGAATACTAGGGAGGTAGCTTATTGTGAAGGCCCCCAATTCAATCCCCAGTGCGACAGAAGAACAAAAAACAAAACAAACAAAATAAAACCTTGAAAACTTACGTTGTTTTGAATGATTTTCATTGTAACTATATAATACTCTCTTGTGATTTTGTGAATAATGTGGTCACTGTTCTTGCTAAGTCATTCTTTTTTGTTCTGTTTTGATATCTATCTGCTCTTCAAAGAAAAAGAAGTGAAAGTAATTACCAGCTGCTTGCATTGTTAGGATACACCAACTGTTTTATAATCCTGGAAGGCCAGTGTAATTGAGGGAAGCAGCGGTGAGGCTGGGAAGGTGCTGCTGGCACTCGGTGGGCCCCTTTGACGTGCCATGGATAGGAATGAAACGACGGTAGTCAGTCAGGGTGAATTCCAGAGATTGACCTGTGCTGCGAATCTGTGAATAATACATGGCAGATTTAGTATCATTCCCTTACTGTCTGCAACTCTAGAACAGAAGTGTTTTCTTAGCAAATGTTTTTATTAGAAATATTCTCCCAGGGCTGCAGGTGTGGCTTAGTGGGAAAGCACTTGCCTATGCACAAGGTCTTGGGTTTGATCCACAGCACCAGACAAAAATTAATAATTTCCTCGTAATCTTAAATGTAAAGTCTCCTCATAATTATGAGTGGGTCTAATACATTTATTAGGGGATAGATACATGTGTTATCATCCCCTCATTGATTTTCACCTTCAAATTAAAATTAGTGAAGGTCTGTAGGCAGACAGTAGCAATGATAAACTGTTTCCCTGAACATTCTTATAAGAATAAAAATAACATCCCTAATCAATTTCACTGACAGACTTTAATGGACTAATCTGGGATTCTGCCCACTGCTTATTTATATTTTTCTGAGCAAAAGTTCTTTATTTAAAAACAAATTGTTGGCACACAACTCATTCTAGAATTGGGGACCAATTCTCTAAATTTCTCTAAGAATTCTATAATTTACTTTATACTTCCAAGCTATTAAGAACCTGTTTCTTTAAATATGTCATTTAATGTTTCTTTTGTTTATTCTTAGCTTTTAAGTTCTCTTTAAAATCATAAAGTAAATCTAAATTTTGAAGTAAGTTACTGCATTTTATCACTCTCCATGGGCCAAGAACATGACCAAGCAAGAAGAATCCTTAATTATATTGTAATGACAAATTGTTTTTGTGCTTTGAAATAATCCATCAGAAAGGTAACACAAAATAAACTGGTAATCATTCAACCGCAAAACTTCTCCTACTCGAATCTGCACAAGAGCTCACAGTTGTGTGATGTTTCTCAAACTTTGTCACCTACCATTGAAAAGAGGTGAAATTCCAGAGTTAGTGCTTAGTCAGGAAGGAGAACACCCCAGAGAGCGGTCTGCTGAGGCTCGTTGCTGCCGCCATGGCACTGAGCTATCTGTGTTCTATTTCAGTGACGTTGTACGCCTCCTGCATCCTCCTGGGAGTGTTCCTGAACAGCAGTGTGCCTATATTCTTTGAGCTCTTTGTGGAGACTGTCTACCCAGTTCCAGAAGGAATTACATGTGGAGTTGTCACTTTCTTAAGTAATATGTTCATGGGAGTACTTTTATTTTTTCTCACATTTTATCACACAGGTAAGAAATTTAGCTTTTTTTTTTTTGTAACTATCTAAATGTGTTATAAGAAATGTGTTATGTTGATACACAGGGAATTTATATGGAGAATTTCACTAAAGCGAATGACTTTATGTGAGTGTTCCTATGTCAATAAAAATAATATTCACAATTGTTTTTCTTTAAATGTATTCCTGCCTATGTGCACCCTCATTCCTTTGAGTTTTGAATTAACCTCAGCTGTGCCCAATATTTGCATTTTTAGAAGCCTCTGCCAAACCCATTCCTTAGCCAGGTGGTTCTAATATTCAGGTGAATTTTTTAAACTACTTCAAGTCTTCTATCTTAGCACAGAATTTAAGTTAATAATGCCAGAGGTAATTTAAGTCATAGAAATGAATGAGAGAAGGTCACTTGATGTAAGAAATACTCTAATGCAACACTCTGAGGAGCTGTATTGTATAGAGAACTTTCTGACAGGCTTATCATTAAATAAGTGTGTGAATCTCCTTGACTGGAAAATAAATTTTCAAAACTTTCAAAGCAGGGCTGAGGATTTAGCTCAGCAGAATAAGCACCTGCTTGGCAAGCACAAGGTTGTGAGTTTGTTCCCCAGTACTGGAAAAAAAGCAAAAAAGCCACAAAAAAAAAAAAACTTTCAAGGCAGTGAAACAAAACCATCCTTGGGTTTTGGACAACTTCAGGCATAGCTTTCTTGTAAGTACAAAAAGTGTCATCAAGATGACTGCTTAATTTCTTAATATAATTAGCAACAAACTTGATTGTCTGCATCCATCAGTAGTGCAGGTAAAGCAGGTCCTGGCTGCATCTGCCCTTCTGTGAGTTTGGCTGGTCCCCAAAGGAGCGCAAGCAGACAGTCAGAGACCTGCTCCTGTGCTCCTCCTGGAAGCACTTTAAGGAAAAGTACTATCACCAGGGGTTGGAGGAAAGCCTTTGCTCCAGTTTGTTTTCTAAACAGACAATTATTACAGATCAGCTCTAATCCACTTCAGTTGTGTCAAAATGGAAATTAAGTGGCTTATTGCCTCTTTTCCTGGTAAAGCATCAGATGGTTGTGATGGCCCCTAGCATGCTAGAAACAATTTTCCAGCCGAGGGACACAAATTTGTTAAGTGGTCTGTGCAGCCTAGCGGAACATGGTTTTCCCTGCCAGCTACAAGGAGTTTTAGCCTCATAGTATTTAAAAACATGAGGATGCCAGATAATGTTATCCCCGAACAAGTATCTTGCTTGTGAGTTCTAGGATATAAAAAGCATATTTATTGATCTATTTAAGATAGAGAATACGTGGGTAACCACCCTAAACTATGTGTATTGGTTTTCCATTACTGTAGCAAAATACCTGCAGCTGAATACTTTATAAAGAAAAGAATTTCTTTTGGCTTAGTTTTAGATGTTAGAGGTTTCTATCCACACGGTGCTTGCATCAGCTTAGCTCTAGTGAGAACCTTAGGTGGCACAAGACATCACAGTGGCAGGAAGCACTGGTGTGAGAGTGAGAGATCATATGTCAAGATAGCAAACCAGACCAAAAACCCCAGTGACCGCCCCCCAAAATGCCACCTCTTAAAGGGCCCACCCCCTCTTCACATCACCAACCTTCCGACTCATGAGCTTTTGGGGAACTCCCTTGCCCATTACTCCAACTATAGCACTGCCTTCCTGCTGACAAGCACTGTGTACCCTGAGCATTTGCTGGGCCAGTACAGTAGGCCACTCCCCTAGGATCAGCTGCACTTCGGATTTGTTCAACGCAGATTGATACTGGTATAATTTACCTAGAACTGACATCCATCTGTGCTTAGTCCTCATCGCACAGATTCACAGGGACCAAATACTGCGTGCAGTTACTTTTGCTTCTTTGGCATGTGCAGCAGAAGACACTTGGCACTGTTTCTGATAATTCCCATCTTCCTGATAGAACCAAGAACTGATCTAACTGGGAGAAGACAGCGTCCCTCATTCTGATCACGTGTTCTTACACGTATCTGTAAAGCTATGAAAACGTTTCTGCCCAAACTCTGTGATATTTGTGACCAAATACAATTTGAAATATTATAATTCACTGAGATGATTTTCAGGGGAAAGTCTCAGTGTATTTGGCATTTTAGATAAATGATAAGACAATAAAGGGAGAGAACATCTATGTAGAAGGCACAGCGGACACTCCCAAGCTTTGTTTGTTAGGTTTTCTTCTGGATAAGTACAGTAACTGATTGAAAGTTAGCCAATTTCTGATTGATGTCAAAAATTTAAAGATCTAGTTTTGAATTTTATGTATTTGTGAGTGTGTATTTGAATACACACAAACATACCCTCCATCTCTCAGAGACTAAGGTTCCCAGAATTATGAAATGTGTTGAAATTTTTTTCACATATGATTGATTGATCCTGCAGCAGATGCTCAACTCTATGCACTGAGGTATGATAATACATAAATTGCAAATATGAAAATTCTGTAGAATTGTTTCCTAAAATCAACTTCTAGTTTTGCAGCCTAGGACACTAAAAACTTCTTGCAACAAATTGAATTCCTTTACATTAAAGCCAGTGTTGAAATGTCATAATTTGGTTAACTTTCAAACATGGAAAAACTCACTCTTATGAGGTGAAAAGTTAACTATTACATGATCAGAGAGCTTGTTTTGTTTTTTGGGTTTTTTTTTATTTGTTTGTTTTTTTAAGAAAGCCTGAGTTTCATTGGTGTTTGAGTTAACGTTTCACAGTGTTTGTTGCCCAGGTTAGTCTCGAACCCCTGAGGATCAAGTGAGCCTCCTGCACCCACCTGCCAAGTGGCTGTGGTGACCCTAGAAAAGGAGTCCTGATTTTTAACCACCATCGCGTGTGATTTTTAGGTCACTTGTGAAGGCACTGCTAAGCTGCTTACCGAGGTTTACCCCACCACAATGTCCTGTCTGGTAGGCCACACCATCGGACAGTTCTTCAGTGCGTTCCCCAAAGTGACCACATCAGAAAGCCTTGTCCAACGAGATAGGCCTCATTGGTGATTTTCTTGACGATTAGGGCCACCACTACAGGCCGTATGAATGCCGTTGGCTTATGTGGAGCCCTGAGCTACGTCCTGTTGTTTCTCCACATCGTTTCATTTCTACTTTGAGTACCTGGAACCATGTGAGAAGGTTAAGAGTTTTTCTAAAGTGCATTTCTCAAGGTCACTTACAAAGTAACAAAGCTCCTTGCTCCCTCCCATGAGTGTGTCTGCGAAACTAGTTGTTTCCTGCCATGTTGCCTAGAGAATCTGAATGAGTTAAGACAGCACGGTGGTGCTTTAGGCTAATGACATCACTTACAAAATCAATTTGGAAATGTTGTTCTGGGCTTTATGTGCTCTCAGATGTATTCTGCTTTCTATTTAGAAGTTTGTATTATCTGTTAGTTTTTGTTTGTAAGCTTTGTAGCCAGGCTTTGACTAAAAGCACAAAGATTTTGAAGTGGCTGGCAATGAATTTGAGGAGGCTTTGTCACTAGAAGATCCAGGGGCCTGGCTGAGATGCGAGGCGTTGACTAACGGTTGCCAGAAGAACAAAGACCAGGCTCAACAGATGAAGACTGTTAAATTTAAGAAGTAAAATAACGCAGTGTGGTAGTTAATATGTACTTACAGGACATCAAACTGGGGAGTCTTGGCATCAGCCGACTGCTCAAGTGAGAGTGGAGACAGGTTTGTTAAATCACTGCAAAAGAATGTACAAGGCTGGTCTAGAGGGTGATAGCTGGAAACGAACAAGTACTTATAGGCAGTCAAAACCAAAAGTATGGTGTTCCTGAAGGCAGTGCTTTTGGAAAGAAAAGCTTTTTAAAAAGATGAACAAAGGCCCAGTTAGCTGAGTTCCAACGCAGCATCCCTGGTGCAGAACACACCTCACTGAGTAAAATCTAGCACCTCGTAAATTGACAAAGAGGACTCCACTACAGGGTAGCTGATGATGGAGAACCAACAGAAGTGTGGAGCACACTGCAGTTCTGCCTCTGAGGATGGTTTGTATTTCCTCCAGAGAGAGGCACAAGGAAAGGAGGTTAGAAAGCTGTAAAAGAGAGAAGAGTATGAACATTTCAGCAGATCAGGATCTTGTTGGTTCACTCATGTCACATGATGTTGAGCTCAAAAAGAACAGTGGTTGACTTCACAACTACTTCATAAATTAAATGTTTGAGCAAGCATCTCCTGCTTAAAGCACTTAATGCTGGTGTCTGTGAGTGGTTTTCAGAAGGAAAAAGTGGCTGTTCCCCTGTCTCTCATTTACTGCTTTCTAAAAAAGCAAATAACTTAAAAAATACTTGCAGCTGATTGAGTCGAGTGAATTTGCTGAAAGGTGGATTTGATTTTCAGAGAACCCGGTAAAAACCAATCAACAAACTGTGACTCTGAAGAGCAATTATACAGCATTTTTAGAGATTTCATGTGAACCTGGGTAGAAAGAATAATTTTACAACTCTGATGAAATAAAGTCTTCTTTGGCAGTATTTGACAAGCTTCTCAGTTTAAAGAAAGCAAGGACAAGTTGATGATTGCTGTATGTATGTTGCTTTAGCTCCATAAATTACAGGCACTAAGATTTTTTAAATGTTGATGTTGTAGATCATGGTATCAGACATCATGCTGTCTTTTATCTGCTTAAAACACAGCCAGGGTCGTCTCTTAATACAAATAGCATGCTTTTGTCTGTATTTTACCTTTATTTTCTTAACTCGTTTTTTGTTTTTTATTCTTTGCGTTCCCTATCCTTAAAAATCCAGGTTACATAGTCAATGTAAGATCAGAAAATGCTCAGGATATCATCGAAGGAGTATCAAAATAAGGATAAGGCTCCAGAGGTCACAGCTTTTCTGAGTATTTATATGAAATACCAGTAAAACACAGAAAAGAGCTTCGTGTAAAGATGCTATTTGGATATACATCTTTGTTTCAGTGCTGCAGAACTTGTCTGGCATAAAATGTAGTAATTCGGAGGTGAGGAAGCTGTTGGGTGAGCATACTGTAGGAAAAAAGGCATCGCCCATCAGTCTCTAACTTCTGTTCCTAGGCATAAATTGTTCTTTTAAGCCATATGCATTATGGATTAGACTAGAGCAGCAATGTGGAAATCTTTAGGCTGATTTTTGAAGATTACAAGAGTATTGCATTCTGTGGAAGGACAAAGGGGAAAAATAAACCTATTGAAGTGAGCAAAAAGAAAAAAAGAAACTTGTTTCCCTGTTTATTCCCAGAGGAACTGATAAAGTGGATGTTAAGCTAGCAGAGTTGTCCCCAGCCACCACCCACCTCTAGGAGCTACAGTACTTCAAAGCCTTAGGGCTGACGGGCAGATGAGTGTGGGGAGAAGCAGCTAGCCAGATGCGGCCACTCAGCTCGAGTGAGTCCCTGGGCCAGCAGGACCTGGACTGAAAGAAGTAACCCGAAATGCAGCATTCTCTCCAGAGGTGGAATTACAGTGGGATTCTTTTTATATTTTACTGTATTTTTCCATATACTTTCTCTGATTTATAATAATTTACAAAATTTTTACTGAGAAACAGATTTCTATCCAAAAAAATATAAAACTGTTACCTTGAAGTTCAGGTGATTTTCCTATTTGTCTCTTTAAACTATCAGACACTCCTAAACAAGGTAAGAGCGATGGAGATAGAAGGCACTTAAAAAACAATTAACAAACTAATGCTAAAAGGCAATCAATTTTTTCTCTGAAGTAATAAATTGATTTTGCAACCAAAGTCAAGGTGGATTAAATTGATGAACTGTCATTACCAGTACTGATTTAAAATATTCCACATGAAAACCATATAATTTATCAAACCCATCACTTAGCTCCCAATTTTCACTGTTTATTGAAAGCCAGTATCCTCACAGTACACCTCGGGCACATTTATTGTGAGTGCTTTGGACTGTAGAACAGGCTGTTCTAGGCACACAGGTGGTGGTCATTGGTGCTACATGAATGCTCAAAACTGCGTACCGTATTTTTGTCTTGCAGAATTGTCTTGGTTCAACTGGTGCCTTCCTGGGTCGTGTTTGCTTAGTCTCCTCCTCATTCTGTGCTTCAGGGAATCCTACGACAGACTCTATCTTGATGTGGTTGTCTCAGTGTAATAGCACAGCCTGAAGGAGTTTAAAAGGAGACTGCAAATCAATACTGCACACTGCACATTTGCTCAGAGTTGCACATCTAAGAGGAAAGAAAGGAGAAGAAAACTTCATTCAGAGGTTCTGTTGAGTTACAGATTATTGCATTAATTTAATTACTAGTAGTAATAATGCAGGACTGACTTGCATGGGAATAGGGAATTTTAAAACTCTACAAGTGATGGATGGACCTGTGCCCGGAAGGCTGAGGTCTTACACGTGGAGCACTACCTGCCATGGGTAATCCCTTCTGTGTGCTGTGCCAGTGCTAATACTAAGTCGGGGTGACTGGGCAAAGAAAGGAAGGGCATTTGTCACATGAAGATACCTTCTCGAGTCACACGACAGATCAGAAAGAAATGCCACTAACTTCTCAAGGAAGTTTAAGCCCTATATAATACCAGATTTTAATACAAAATAGCTGAGTGACGTACTGGATAGAAATTAGCCACGTGTACACTACATGTTTTTCTAATAAAGCCGTTTCTTATGAGTCTTTATTTTTAATCAGGTCAGAAACTTCTGGCCTCCTTGTCATGGTGAGAAGTGCTTTCCAGAGACTTCAGAATATAGGTGCTGTGTCTGCCCTTGTTTCTGTGAATACAGTTTCATCTGCAAAGCCCTAAATCATTGTAGCAAGGATGACTAAATGTTTGATAGAGCCACACTGATTATATGAAGAGTGTAATTCCATTGATTTAGGACTTTGTTAAAAGAGAAATGATAACCACACAGCATGTGTGTCTCCAACCTATACATGGCGGCAGGAGCTGTAAAGCCCAGCACTGACTGTTACTTACCAGGGTTATATTTTATTAAATGACCTTTGTGTGAAAAGAACAATTTAGAACACTGAAACTTTCAAAACCGTATGCGTGATTTCTGAGTTGTATCCTTGTGTCTCAATTTAGGATATAAAATACCCAATTCTGTATGAACTCAGATGTATTTGGCAGGGCAACATTTTGCCAATACATGGTTTCTTTCTATGAATAATAGACATTTTTAAAACTAAAAGTTACTCGTTGGCGGCTCTCAGATAGGTAGTCCACTATGAATGAAGAGCACTCCAATGCAAAAGCGATATTCCTCCGGAAGATGGAGAGGAAAGATTTTCCTTGATTAGTCTGTGCTTCCTCCAGCCCCCTCTCGTGGAAACCACCCTCACTTGAAATTGTCACTCCATTGTCAACTAGCTGTGTGTTTTCTTTGCCTTGTTCCTGACCTTGGTCCAAGTGGGAAAGCAAAGGGAAGGACAGAGGGAAAATCTCTGTAGCATGTGCACACCACCCACCGTACCCCCAGCACCACACACCCCAGCACCTCTCTGGTCCTTTAACAAGTTTATGGCTTTGCACTTACTCACCTCAACCCTGGAGGAGGATTCTAGGACTCCCTTGCGTCTTCTAAGACACTTCTTTCCAATTGTGAAACTTGGAATGTCAGAAAATCTACGAATATAACACCCAACTTCAGTGACCTTTCAACCATCTCCCTTTCTAACTTTGCCCATTTTGGGCAGCAAAAAGGAACTTGTTAAAGAGAAGAGGTCTTAGGGCCAGGGATTGAGCTCAGCAGTGTAAGCACCTGCCTGGCAAGCGTCAGGTCATGAGTTCAATCTCAGGTACCAAAAAAAAGAAGAGATCTATGAAAGCTAGGCTTTGTTCCATTAACACATTCTAGAATGAGTAAAAGTACAATAAAAAGAAGGCAGAATTCTGGATGATTGAAAGCCAGCCACTGAGGAGATCAGCGGGCCATGACCAGGTTGCTAAATAACCACCGCCTTTTCAGGTTTCGAGAGGAGACAGAAGCAAAGGGGGTGGTATAAGGGATTTGACCTTAGCCACAGCTGCTGTGTTTAAAGACATTGCTGTATAAAATCCTGCTATAATAAGACCTCTGATGTAGAACTTTTTAATTAAGTTAATTATACTTTTAACACAAAACACAGAATAACATGTTAGAAAAAATTGCCTAAATGACCGATTTAGTTCAAAGGTACCCCAAGTGGGTAGTGATTGGCACCTCTTGCGTTGTACCGGGCACCAACTCTGTTCAGTTTACATTAGATGAGAGGAAGCCAGCTATCTCCTCTGTGTTGGCTTACCCCTCCAGAACAACCCAGTCACAAACTGCAGCTGTTTTAAGTGCTCAGAATTTCATCTGCAAACCTGGTAGGAAGGGAACCTGGGCATAGATATTATTTATCTGAATATTGCAAATCATATTGTCTTTGTTCTTATTTTTAGTCTGCATCAAAATAGACAAGTTTTAGCTTTGTACTTTCTTAATGGGGGGGGGCGGTAACCAAGGATTAAACTCACAACCTTGCACTTGCCAAACAGGTGCTTATGCCGCTGAGCTAAATCCCTGACCCAGCTTTGTACTTTCTAAACAAAACCCAAATGACCTTTTATAACTGTAAGAAATCTTAACCTTCCACGGACCCAAACCCTCATTTTAGAATTCCACAGAATCTATCCATAGAGAGGTAAAGTATCTAGCCAAAATACTAGTTTTGGTCTGCCCTCTGTGTCCTTGGGATTGGTTCCAAGATCCCCAGCAAATACCAAAATCCTTGGGTGCTCAAGTCCTTCATATAAATTGGGTTAGTATTTATCATTTATAAACACCCAAACCAAACCTCATGGCGGCCTGGAGCTTATAAATTGTAATCCCATGGAAAAGTTACTGGAACTCTCACGAATAAATTCCAGTCTACCACATCCAGTGAGACCTATGGCCAGAAAAGAGACAGAGATGGCATCTGCAGTTATGGGAAGCCCAGAGGGTCTAAAGTCCAGGCAGAGGCCAACCCACCCAGGGCCAAACCCAGTTTTAATCCTTTGTGAAAAGGAAAGTGGCTCAGGGTAGAATGACTGTGAGAATAGCAGGAACTAGGTGAGTTCTGCTACCTGGGCTAGGTAGGGGGCACAATGGCACCTCTGCAATAGGCAGAGAGATTTGCAGAAACTACTAAATTTGGAGAAATCCGCATAACACAGTCTCAAGAAGTACCTTGTTTTTTAGGTCGACTTCCTTAGCTCTGATGCAGGCCTTAATTGCCTAGGACATCACTGCCTCTTTCTCAAAGCTCCACCTCAGCTGACAGCACAGTGTCTTTCAGCCTAGCTCTCCTAGCCAGCTCTGTGCATATCGTACGCAGGAGTAGTGCTAAGGTGAGCCAAAATAGAGGCACATCGTCATCTTTCAGGGGAGCTGTCTTGATAGTTCTCCAGGTGTCCACTACCCAGCCCTTGGGCCGTGTGCATCCCTGGACAGCTAGTGACTCAGTCCCCCAAGATCATGTACTGTGAACATTATTATGTGATGTTTATTTTATCGTATGATTGGTGCTTAAATGCCAGACTGTGTAGGGGAGGGCACAGTGCCTGCTCACTTTACCTCCGGTGTTCATCACACACAGTCAAATGGAAACCAGTGTGTGTCAGATGTTTCGTGAACTTGGTGAGTAAAATTCAGTGACTACTGAAAATAGTATTTCACCCTACCTACATGCATGTGTGCCCAAGACAGGTTGCTTTTTATGGTTTTTTGAGATGGTTGGTTGTTCTTTGTAGTAGTGGAGATTGAACCCAAGGTCTCCACTCTGATCTACAACTTCAGCCTGGCTTGATTTTTGTTTTGAAACAGATTCTCACTAAGTCACTAAGTTGCTCGGGCTGGGCTTGAACTTTTGTTTCCTCTGTCTCAGCATCGAAGACTGCTGGAATTACAGGTGTGTGTCATCATGCCTTGCAAGACAGGTGTGTGTTGTTATTTAGATAGGAAATTCATTCTTACTCTGTGTAGTCAAAAATTGGATTCTTGTGCTTTAAATGATCTCTAGATCACTCGTAATACCTAATGCAATCCTTCAGTTACATGTAACTTCTACATTGTAATGTATTATTTAAGAAAGCAAAAGAAAAATCTGTACTTGTTAAGTACATAGGTATTTTTCCCCTAAATTTTTGTTTCTGTGTTTTATCTTGCCTTGTTTTGTGTTTTTGAGACAGGGTCTCACTTCGCAGTTCAGGCTGGCCTTGAGCTCACTTTGTAGCCCAGGCTGGTCTCGAACTCCCAATGATCTTCCTTTCTCAGCCTCCCACGTGCTGGGAGTACACGCATGCTCCACCACGCCCAGCTTTTCCCCCATTATTTTTTATCTGCAGTGTGCTGAATCCTTAGATGTGGAACCTGTGACTGTGGAGGGCTCAGCACAGGGGTAAAGGAGAACTACGATCAGTATTTTGAATCCTAAACTAGTTTATTTTCACCACCTCTCAGAGTTGCAACTTGCTACAGACCATTTAGGGTGTTCATGAACATTCTTCGCTGTCCAGAAATGATGGGGCTACAGATAAACTGCCAGTACTGAGCACACAGTGTTCAGGGAACCAATTGAGGTGACTGTTTGGTTTAGAAGTAAAGTTTCAAGTAAATCATTATCCTATAGGGTCTCTAATGTCTCAAAAGGCTTAGCTTTCAGTGACAGTATATGAAAAGATTCTGATAAATAATCCAGTTCTCGTAAACCCAACCAACAGCGTTATTAACTGGTAAGCACATGTTATGGTGTTAGCTCCCTGTGGCTTATCAACTAATTCTTACCACTTTATGGGAAGAGGTGTTTTTTAACATGATCCATGGTGGAAGTATAGGAACATGATAATTATACACTTGCATTTTACTGAAAAATGGAGCTAACAAAACAAGAGGGACTCAAGTATACATTTAATTTTGTATATTTAAACATATATGGCCTAAGGGCCAGGTTTTATCATAGCCCATATATTCATATTTAATTACTGAGAATGTTTATAGCTTGTTTTTATGAAGTCCTTCTAATGAGTGAACTTAGCTAAGGGATTTTAAGTTGAAGACATCAAATCCCCATCTACATTTAATTAGTTGTTTTTACTCTTATTTTTACTGAAATCCAGGGATTCATCTTGTAGTCTGTCCTTATACATGCTTCATTTTAAATTCCAGATCAAATAAAAATGCATAGCAAATTTGCTTCCAGTTAATGTTAAAAGTCACATTAATTTCACATTTGCTCCTACAATAGGAAGTACAGACACTGCCGTGATCATACATTACCAAGCAAGTGAAAAGCTGTGACGTGTAACTTTGAGTGTTGCTCAGAGATACAGTGCTTGCCTAACATGCACAAGGCCCTGAGTTCACTCCCCAGTACCACAAAAAATAAACACAAAAGCTGTAACCTGAAAAGAAACTTTAAAAAAAGATATGGCAATAAGAAGGAAATACAGAAAACCATGAGAACATTTGATTAGGCCTGTTTTATAAACATAGGGGAAAATACACTTCCACTTTAATTTGAAGTTATCATACAGAAGGGGACAAGATAAAATTCATTTTTGTCCCATCAAATGGTTTGTTCTAGGAAAGATAATCAGTACTTGGGAGATAGCACTGGACCGTCCTAGAACAGATGAGTAGGATTTGGAGTGCAGGTTTCAGGCATGCACTCGGCTCCTTGTCTCAGGCAGTGATTGCTGCTCACCACCTGACATCCTGGCTCTCCTGTATCCCATCAAGTATCCTCATGTCTCTGCTAGACTTAAGCTCAGACTTAAGTATTCCTCAGACTTAAGGAATGACCCTAGGAACAAATTCCAAGGCCCTTGGGAAACCCTCCGAAGTGTCAGCCCTGGCAGGGCAATGGGCAGAGCTGGTAGACAGGTATACTCCTCAGTCTCTAACTTAAACTCATCTTCGGTCAGGTCTTAAACGGCACCAGCCTCACTCCGCCATGCAGTTTCCCAAGGCTCTGGCTTGCCCTCTGCCTGCCTCAGCTTCATCAGCTCTTGCAGGAATCTGAACTCGGCTCCCTGGAGAAAGCTCATTCTCATCGGAAGGGTGAGCAGGGCCACGCACCTGGGTCTGCCTCTTCCAGACAGGGTGCTGGCCTGAGCAGAACCTGAGTAAATCCAGGGAAAAGATTAAACAGTTCTCACATTTGCTCTTCCAAGTTAGAATTTCACTAAAATGGGAACTTGAGAGATCTCTAACAGCGTGCCATTATTCACTGCATTCTTAAAATACGAGCTAATTGCTTTATGTGGCCCTTCAGTTATTACCTGGCAGGCCTCAAACAATAGCTTTTCATTTCAGCCTACTCTCAAAAAGAGAGCACAATTTACCCTAGCTGTTCATTCAGCAAGGCTTTATTTAAATTTTTAAAAACATAGCTAGAAAATTAAATAAAAGCATGGAGTTGATTTCAGCAACTTTGATAATGATAAAAGGATATAAACCATTTTAGCTCTATATTGGAAGGCTTGGAGACTCCAGAAGTTTATTGGAAAATGAACCCAAACACTGCATTACTCTTCACATTCTCCGCTGGGTTTTCTAATTTATACCAGAGGCTTCTGCAATATTGAACAAAATGCAAGGGGAGACACTGTGTTTACCTCAGTGGTAGAAAGTGATATTTCTCAAAGCACTGTAGTATAGTGTTTCATTTAGATTGGCTTTCCTCCCTTTTACTCAAAAGGATTATAGAATGAAAGAAATGATCTATTCTAACCACCTCATTTAACAAATAGGTAAAAAATCAGTAGGGGCTGGGGATTTAGCTCAGCGGCATAAGCACCTGCCTAGCAAGCAGGCAGTCATAAGTTCGATCCCCGGTACCGATAAAAAAGGAAAAAGACAAAAAAAAAAAAAAATCAGCCTTGAGGTATGACACAGCTGGGTTTTAGCATGTCTCCACACTCCAAGTCCAGCCTTTTTCCATAAATGACCAATATCCTAGCCAAAAACAATTTTTTGAACTAAACTTACTTTTACTTTTCAAGTTCTGAAAATTATACAAAAAGTACATGAAGGTGGAACCATCATAAAATGCCCAAGACCAGACTACAGAGTGAAGTCTCCTTCCCATAAATGTGTTGACTAATCCTTTCTTTTCTCTGGAAGAAGCCATGATGGACCCTCTGTGCATTTACATAGATAGGTATAAAAGCTTAGTGGTCATTTTAAATTGAATCATCTAGGGAACTGTTTCCTGGACTATGTTGGCATAAAATTTATGGGCAGAATCACGCATTTCTGAGACCTTTATTTCTCTCCCAGATGAATCTTCATCAAATGGAGCAGTGATTAGTACAGAGATTTCATAGACCTAACTATATAGCCTCGAGCACCATCGGAGTCTGATGTCTAAAAGTGAACTGCAATATGCACTATTCCATTTTCTTATTGGAAATATAGTGCCTATGTTTATATCAACTACAGTTTCTGCACAGTGAGAGAAGGAAATAAATGACCCACTCCCAAAATCCAGGTAGATTTTCTTGACAGAGCTTTCTTGGCTCTCCTGTCTCTACAGAGGCACCCGGTTTTGTAGAGCACAGAAAGATAATAAGGTCATGGTTTAAAAATAAAATCTCACATAGAGACTACCAGTTCTTATCATCTTCCTGGTAACTTCCTCAGCTATCCTGCCTTTCAAGCAATTGGGAGAACTGATAAACCATAGCAGAACAGGAACCTGGCTTAATATGGTCACTTCTTCCTTTCCGGTCCTGTCCAGCCTTCTCCTTTCTGCCTCTTTCTTCCTGTTTCTGACTATGTTTGGGAGCAAGCTGTGTGGAGGCCGGCTTGTGTGAGTTTCCAGCCACAGAGAAAAGAGCTGGCCATGAGACTTCCCCATGGACTGTACCAGAGGGCATTCAGAGCAAGTCCTGGCTTAGGATCCTCAGGCTCTGACTTTATCCCAGACTGGGGACTTCAGATATTTGACCTTGAGCAAGTCACATCCTTGCTAATTTATGCACATCTGTAAACTAAGCCAGTGAACAATGAGGATCCCTTAGGCTTCTTCCAGTTCAGAAATCCCAGTCCATGCTTATTTCAGTGTTCTAAAATGATTTCCAATAGCGTCTCACCTGCAGTCTTTAAGACTAATGAGCTTTCCTGCACTTTCATGTTCCATTTGTGGAGTAGCCCCCCTTGTGTGACCCCTCATGTGTCCGTGAGCACATGAAAAATTATGCTAAAAAAAAGAAAAATTCTGCTACGTGCACTTTCAACAAGAAGGAATGGCTTTTTGTCAGTGGTAAGAGATAACTGCAGATGCTGTTTATTTTCCCAAAGGACTTTATATATGAAATGTGGAGTTTATTAAATTTATCCAATGCAAAAAAAATTTATCCAATGCATTAAGAGAAAAATCTGTCAACTGATGTTGGGGTAGCCTTCTGGGAGCCAGGTGAGGGTGCAGTGTCTGTCCCCTGGAATCAGACCAAATCAGATACCTATTTGATTCATTGTGATGTGCCTTGGGTTTGCAGCTATAGAAATCAAACTGACAGGTCAGATAGTAAAACTGATCTTTGAACTTGGGTCTCTAGAGTTATGTCATGAAAGTGTTATAAGTTGTTTTACAACGTCAATTTCTACATGGCCCCAATCTTTTGGTAGAGCTCTGCAGACATCTTACTAAGGGCAGTTACAGAATGCCAAGGTATGGTCTGTACACAGGTGTCAGTACACACAGCTTACCTGTGACTCTGATGCAGGGACAGATGCTATGAGAGAGAGAAATGAGCCCAAAGAGCAGCCCAGCATGGAAGAGATCTGGGTAAGTGGCCCCTTCTCCTTGGGCTACTGCTCCTCCCCTCTAGATGGGAGAGTTGGAGTAGATGTTCATTTCAACCGAAAAATTTTATAGTTCTCCTATCTACATCTACTAGTCACACACAGCAGAAAGCAGAAAAACATGAGTGCAGTATTTTTTACCAATACTACCAGTTTAAACGTTACCTTCTCCCTAAACTTGGCCCTTCCAGAAGGCCATGTTGCTTGTGTTAGAGGCCCTAGGTAGACTGCTATCATGTCCACTTATTGCTTTGTTCATTTATGTATTTATTCATTCTAGATACAGAGTATATTCTGGATACCTGCACAGTGTATACCTATGAAAGATAAATGAAAAAAAAAAAAAAAGATGTTTCTATCCACTGGAATCTTTTAGAAAGATCTAAAAAAAAAAAAAAAAAAAAAAACAAACCTGAACTAACAATGACAAGAAATCATGACAGTTTCCCAAATACTTAATCATGCATATGATTTTCTCATATCATCACTAGCCACAATTGATTTCAAGAAAAGTTTATTCTGTTCACTAAAATTTCCATCACAAATAGGACCTGGCTCTGTCCTGGGGCATAGAATCAATGTTGGCAGAAAAAATCCCAAACCCTACTCTTACTCTATTTCTGATGAACTGGCTTATCCTTCCTTTGGGAGGACAAGGATGTTGGCTCCTAGCTTCCTCTTAAGACAGAATTTAACAACTGCTACACACTGAGATACACATACCCCAAAGCTTCCAACAAGCTTTATTGGTCTCTTTTCCAATAAGGATTTTAATTTTACGGAAGAATAGATACTCAACACCAAAAGGAACTATTCCTAATGATAAATTTGAGACATCAGCGGGCAAACAGGACCTTCTTTGGGTGCTGGAGGTTGCAGAACCCCTCGGGTCCCTGCCCTAGAGGGAGTGTCATCCAGCCACATCTGACACATCTTAGGTTTGTCCTGCCTCCTAAGTGTTGGTGAATCCAAAGAATCTACCCCCACCGAAAGAAGGTCTAATTTCTGCAGAAGATTTTAATTAATTCACATGTCATATTTATTGACTTCCTTTCCCATCAGAAATGTGTCTTGTTGGAAGCTTTTGAAAATTAAGTATCAGGAAAACTTTACCATCCTCCTCTACAGTTGCATGCACAAATCCCAAACAAAATCACGATCGTGGCCTGCACACCTAACTACTTATGTGGGGTCCGTTCAGAGACTCAAAGTGCCTAGAAGGAACATGGAGAGCTGGCGGGGGCACAGTAGGCTCTGCCCAGTGGAATCCAGCTAGAATTGGAGCTGCATGTCCCTGGCAGCCAGTTTCTTAGTCCTTCCCTGACTCGGTCCTTCACACCGCACTGCTCTTCCTAGCCCTGTTATTGCTGACGAAGTCATGTTAGAACTAACACAGATGTCTTCACTGGAGCCAGCCTCCCTCCCTCCTCTGCTGTTCTTGGGACCTGAGCCCTAGGATCCTTACGCCATGTGCTAAAGAATCTTAATCCCCAACTCTCCCGCTTTTCTTGTAATTTGACTTGCTCTGCAAGGAATGAAAAATCGATTGACATCTTAGTCCTGTGTTTCTGTCTCAGAATAGAGAAGCCCCTCCATGTTTGTCCTTATTTCACTCAAGCTTAATGCAGACTCCCAGTGTAGGCTCTGTTCTGCTGCCTGGACTTGTCCTTTGCATCTGACCGGGAAAGGGTTCCCTGATGAGCAGGATGCTAATCCCTTACCTACCTCTCATCAGTATTTCTTTACCAGTCATTTCTTTGTTAGATCCCGAAATGCATCTCTCTTTTTAACTTAAATATTTCTTCCATGAACTGCTCCTTTCCTCTTAAAGCAGACTATTATCTTTCTTCTTCTACTTCATAATACCATTTGAACATAGTGAAACACTCTAAAGTCAGACATGGGTTTTATCTTAGCCAATATTAAATGCTGGAAGGAATAGATTATATATTCTTAAAAGAAGAAGGAAAAGAACCAGCATGGAGGAATCTGTATCCTATAATTCCATCAGCATCTTCTGGGCTCCTGTTGGCTGCTAGCTGCTGGACTAGACACTGAGACTGCGAGCAACAAGACAGATTCTTGCCCTCAGATTTGCATTCCAGTGAGCCTATTCATAAAAAAAAAAAAAATCCTATAATTCAAAGCCAATAAAGCCAAAGAGTTCTTGGAAGCTTTTAGCTCATTTCTACAGCTGTCTCGGTTTCTGCATGGGATCTTACTCTCTTGGGAAAATATATTCTAAATCTTATTTTCTTGAGCTATTAAAAATCCATGGTTCTCCCTAATCAAAGTACAGTTAAATGTGATCTTCACAGAGTAACAAATGCCCCTGGACAGCCTTCGAAAGGAAAAGCAGAAAAATCTGTTTTGATGGCTTGAGAATAAGTGTCTCTTAGGGAAAACTAACAAGGTTCCAAAGATTTCAGACGTGCTGACATTCACTGAGGCATGGGATTAGGCCAAGAGAGGAGCCTCGTAGCAAGGGGGAGGAAAGGGACCATGTAAGGCGATCTGGGCGACCACACTGGTAGAGTTACGGAACTATAATGCAGGCCTAAGGGCTGAGGTATAGCTCAGCCGTAGAGCATGTGCTTAGCATATGGAAGTCCTTGGGTTCCATCCCTAGCACCGTCAAGAATAAATAAACCATAAACCAGCTCTGTAGACATGTCTTTAAAATGTCTGCTGAGTTGAATTACTGGAGGAGGCTTGGAGGTGTAGAGTTGTAGTGGAAGCAGGCTCTGGAAAGCAGAACCAGAAATTGGCTTCTTCTTACTGAGTCTTCTGGCCCAGGCTCCTGCCTGCAAGCACACCCCGCCTGCAGTGTGTCTCTGTCTGGCCAACTGCTTTCTCAGTTCTCGAGGGATGGAGATTCCACAGCCTCTCTGTTGTCTGTTCCAAAGCCATTCCCTTAGTACTGAGACATTTTTGCTTTCAAAGAATGGGAGCATCGAGAAACAGGGAAGTCAAGGGGAGCACAACAAATTAGGGCAAAAGATCCCAGCAGGAAGAGGAGAGGCTGAAGATAATTCATACTTTCTTCCCTCTTAGCTCCTAAGCAGATAGGAGGGAGAAGGTAGAATCTCTATGGGGACCCAGTTCTCCCAGATCCCCTGACTGGTGCAGTGGAACCCATGCTCTAAGGAAGCCATGTGCGTCCAGACATCCAGTGCTGCCCCAGAGGAGCTGTGTTTTATTTAAAACTTGGCATAAGCGCCTGCCTGGCAAGCGCGAAGTCATGAGTTCCATCCCCGGTACCGCAAAAAAAAAAACACCTGAAACTTTCACATTCTCCCCTCCAAAAGAATGTTCCTGGTACATGCCTGTAACCCCAGCACTCAGGAGGCTGAGACAGGTAGATCGCTACAAGTTCAAGGCCAGCTGGACTACAAAGTGAGTTCACAGCCAGCCTGAACTGCGTAGTGAAACCCTGTCTCAAAAAGACACACACAAAAAAAGTTTTATGACTGGGGGCAAGCTCCATACCCACTTTGTTGTGTTTCATATACTTTGCCAGAATAATTACTTTTCAAACCAATTCTTGACTGTAGATAAACCTAGGGAAGTCCGAGGAGGATAGCAGGCTCCATCAGGCTTTTCCATCTGCTCCCAGCCTCAGCCAAGCATCCCAAAGCAAGCCAGAAAGCCCACCTATCCCAAATCGCTCCCCAAAAGCCTGGGCTCTTTGGCTCTGTTCTTGAGCCATGGGGCTATTTGACCTGTCTCACACAGCTAGTTACTGGGCTGTCACAGCTCACCGGGACACTGCAGTCGGATTAGGGAGCCAGGCAACCCTGGGTGCCAGATGGGAGAAAGGTGACTACAGAAACAGAACCGAGGCGGCAGCTGGCAGGGAGCCTGCCTCGGTCCTGCCATCGCCACTCTCCATACTGGGGGCCTAGCATGCCCGAAGGGCTTGCCCCACGTGACCCCCAACCTGCACCCCCACCTTGGGCCTCTCGGGTCTTGACTCTCAGGCTGCGCTCCCATTCCCGTTCCCTCTGGGCAGCAGCACTGAGGCTCTAACTGCCTTCCTGCTTGGGGGAAGAGACTTCCGCAGTGGAACTCTGGCCACTACTGTGAAATTGTACTCCAGCAAGCTACGACAGAGTCCCTGCCTCTGGGAGAGGGCTGGAACTTTCTCAGAGGATGGGGGCCAACTCCTAAGATTCCTCTCAACACCAGGACCTAGCTAACACGGCCACACCAAGATACAGGTTCTCTGTGGGTGCCTTGATGGCAAGGGCTGCCCTCCTGTGACACCCATGTTCAGACTTTCTTCCTCTAACAGAGATGATGCGGCAAGAATGGGTATGGGGGTGGTCGAACGCTGCCCCCACAAAAACTTGCTGGGGTCCAGTGGGTACAGGATCTGCCACCTGGGTGGGTGAAAAATTTCATGGCGACACATCACAACTTCCAAAGTGTCCTGTGTTTTTAAGTAATTCTTAACTGTGTAAAAATTGTACTACACTTTAATAAAAAGACAATTTTTTTTTGCATTTTACTTTTGTAATATGTGGGGTTTTATAGATTTTTATTTTAAGGCCAAGTATACTTTTGTAAGGAAATGTTGAAGTCTTGAGTATTTTTATCCTTTTAGGGAACTATAGTTAATGTCAACTGTAAGCACTGATAAATATTATCCATGTGCAATTTTTCTTCCTTTCAATCGGGACTTTTGAAGAAACTGTGTTTTGGCTTCACATTTTATTTAAAATGCTGCTTCATTTTACACATTGTGAATACTGAAGATTCTGAAAAATAAAGATGCATTTAAATCTCTATGCTGTTACACTGTGGAAATGGTAATGTGTATTGCTTTGCCAAAGTGCTAATTAAATGTTTAATGGTTTAGAACTTCCAGTTCAGAATAGGGGTTGTCGTTGGCACTCAGAGCAGGGCTTCCGAGCGAGCCTCCATGTCTTTGGAAAATGCACTTCAGGGTGGTTCAGTTAGGAAATACGGTGGTGTTGACATTACAGTTCTCTTGCTTGTGGTTTTGCAATAAATGTGTATTGGAAGCACTTGTGATAACGTGGTCCGTATTTTGTTTTTAATCAAACTCCAAATGGCAGGAGAAGTGGAGCCAATGCTTCCTGAGCATTCAGGCAGTAAAATGTGGGAAAACAAGAGCTTGGCAACAGAAGAGGCTGGGCCAATCCAGTGTCTCCACCAAAAAGCCCTGAGACTTGAGACGTTTGTATTTCTTTTGGAGACCTGGTGTTCTCATCCACTAAAAATAAAATAATATTAATTAAAATCAAGAAGTAATTGCATTTACCTCACATGTGTGCAGGTTGTAGATCAACATGGAGTCGCTGTGGCAAACCCGCCAAGTGGAGCTGGGAAGGCCAAGGGAGGGTTCTCTTGGACAATTGCCTGGTAACAAGAACTAACACAGAAGACTTTGCCAGGGAAACGGGGAGCAGCTCAGTGACTGAGCACCTCACTAGCACACACAGGTCTGGGTTTGATCCCAGCACTGCAACACATAGACACAGAGAAATCAATAAAAGAACCTCCATTGCAAATTTACATTTACTTATGCAAAGATATTGGTGTTGTCCAGTCTCAGACTGGTGGCTCCTTTGTCAGCAATCCTCATAGCCACGGACGATGGCTCCAAAACTAGGTAGTCACTCTCATTTTGCCTTTAACAACTTTCCCTTGCCTCACTCTCCTCAAATATACTCGTAGTTTTCCCTGTGGCACACATGGTCCCACTGCAGTGTCCACTCCTGAGTAAATTCATTATTCATGGATTTTTTGTGATGGTTGAAAAAAGTGATGAACATGAAATGCCCTGTAAAACTTTGGCCGCCCAGCAGATATTGTTTGTCTTCTTCCTTCCCATCCCTTTTGTATCCTTATGCTGCACTTTTATCCTTAATATGATATCCTGGATATTTTCCCAAGACAAGGAAATCTTCTATAATTTAAAATAATACATTCTATTGTTGGATATAAGGTTATCCCTGAGGAGATACAGTCTAGGGAATACATCACTGTATATTTTTCTTTGCCCTAGTTTCTAATGATTTTCTTAGAGAAGATACCTAGATGGAGAGTTACTTAATTGAAGTTATAAAGATCTTTAACTAGCTCCTGATATTAATTTCTTCCCGGCCTCATGAGATTCCACCGGCAACTGAGTTAACCCTGAGCCGGGGGTTTGCTCCAGTGGAGAGAGTGACAGGCAAGGAAATCACACTGGCCTCTCCTTCTCTTTGCTTTTTTCCCTTTTTTTATAAACCACACACCCTCTGCGTGGAGAAGCCCTGATGTGCCCTTTAATTCTTTCTTATATTACAACACTGGAGCAATTAAAATTCCTCAAGATTGTATCAAGTCTGAATTCTAGCTATACAAAGCCAAAAGGGGACAACGTAGGAAGAGATGGGAGGAGGAAAATTCTCGGGGTTTTTTTTTTGTTGTTGTTGTTTTTTTTTTTGTCTTTTTCCTTTTTATCGGTACCGGGGATCAAACTCACGACTGCCTGCTTCCAAGGCAGGAGCTTATGCCGCTGAGCTAAACCTCCAGCCCCTAGGAGGAAAATTCTTTCATTTGAATACTTGGAGATGGAAAGGTCCTTTACTGAGACTCATTTTTCCCTAGCAGTGTCTTAATTTATTGCATAATTTATTGGATCAGTATCATTTGTTCCCCAGAGAAAGCAAGGACATATTTTGAAATTTTGTTAACGAAACAATTTTTATGGTGCTCCAGATCCGATTTTCCATTTTTCCTTTGACATACCAGGGAGGCAGATTACAGGAAGAAGCCTTCACCCCCACTGCTTAGCTCAGTAACAATGACAATAATTTCAAATGCTTACGTTGCACCTGATACTGTTCTAAGCACTTTCTGGGCTTCAGCCCCCACAGCAAACCCAGAGTAGGTTCTATTATTAGCTCTTTTGCATACGAGGAACAAACCGCCCAAGGTCACAGAGCTGGAAAGCACTGGAACCCCTGCAGAGCCTAGAGGGTGGGAATGCAGAGCCCTGGACACCAACCAGGAAGCAGTAGATGCTGGGTAATCCTCCACCAGCAAACAAGAATAGAAGTTTCTCCAGCATCCATGGGCTTGCCCTGGCCACCCTGTGATACTGTTCTATAATCAGTTTACTCTTCATAAAACTCGGTGAGGTCAGTGATACTGTCTCATCTCCATCGCACAGCTGGTAACTGGGAGGCAGGTATTGAAAAGTGCTGGGTCATTCCTCTGTGTCAGGGTCCCTGGCTCGGGGCAGAGAAGGCAAGAATGTTAGAGACAGAAGGATTCCAGGAACCGCAGTCTCCAGCACCCGTCCAGCCGGCCACTAACAAGAGGTCGCAGCTGCTTTCTTCCCTCTTGGCCACTCAAGTTCTCCATCCCCACTTCGCAAAGCAGACACATTTCTCACACAGCAGCAGCACTGAAACAGTAGTTATGTCCCTGTGAGTAAAATTTTATAACCTCCTACTCCCAACAAACTCCCTTTGTTCACCATCTGCCCACCCACAAGTTCCAGGCCAAAAACCAGCCCCTTGACCAAATGTGTAAAAGCTAGAACCTATCCTGTGCCCTGTGCTCAGCCATCTTGGATTTATCGGCTGAGATGATGCACATCTAAAAATAAAATTCTCCTTTTTCCCATTTGGGCTCTCCTGTCTCTCAAATCCCGCAACACCTCCACCGTGAAGGTCTTGGGAGGTGATAACCTCCTCACTGCCCAAACCAGCGGGAAGAGGCCCAGACCTCTCCTAACAAGTTAGCACAGGCCCGGGGGAGGGTTCCTGTCTGACCTTCAAATCTGCATTTCGAGAGGGGCAATGCAGCATCATGAATGGGGTGCTCTGACTCCATGGAAATGTTCAGAACTCAGATGAACTTTAAGATGGGGAGCAAGAAGGACAGTGCCTATTGTTTAATAACCTTGCCTCTTCCATTCCCTAACTACTGTGAGAAGATCACCAACTCAAAGGTCAAGGACACGTTGCAGGAAAGCCAGGCAAGCACACCAAGGGGAAGCGACAGGTGGCAGAAGCCCGTTCTTCCCACGCTGCACTCGTATTCAGGCTGCGAGCCTCATCTCTGTCGGGCTGAAGAAGCGTGCGCCTGAAGAGCTCGTCCCTGCAGCCTCTGAATTACCCTCAGTTGTCGGGGTCGCTCCCGGCCGGCAGGAAAGACACACGACAAAGTCTGGCGGTGTGCAACCTTGCCTTTATTTATCTCCGCGTGGGCCCCGCGAGGCCTCCACTCTGCCACCAGCCCTTTCTCGCCGGTGGACTTTTTCTATCTCTCTCTGTGCTTTCTCTGTGCTTCCTGTCTCGTGGCGGGAGAGGCATTCACTTTTATAGGGTGACAGTGGCCAATCAGTTCAAAGCGCGCGATGCGGGCTGATTGGCTAACATCAGTTGTTGCTAGGCAGACTATCTTACAGAGCGGGTTGTTTAAGTCGCCAGCGCAATCAGGGGGCAGGAAGCAGGCGCCAACTTGACTCACTCGATGGGAGGGGCAATCTAGCTCAGGCTCCGCTCCCACCCACAGGCCCTACGTCCGCCAAGTAAGGCGACCGGTGTCGGCGGCTCCCAACACTCAGTAGTGAGGAAGATCTTGCCAAGCCCTCTCCTTCACCGTTTCCATCTCCACATTGGGCAGTGTCCAGGGGCAGAACCAAGAGCACTGCAGAGAGGTGGGGCAAAGTACAAAGAGACCAGTACAAATGCAAGTGAGCTTGTGAGAGGTAAGGGAATATTGGACGTTTTCTTGGACATTGATTCCATTCATTTTAAACCAGCATAGAGCGGGAATAAAGGTAACTCCCCATATTGAAAGTGCTGAATGAGTTTGAATACGTGTGCATGCCCACCAGAGGTCACGAACTTCTCTGTCACCCCTTTTAGAACCCTCCTCCCTTCTCCCCTCCTGTCTCCACACCCCGTTCTCAAGCAGTCCAATGGGTTTCCTGTCACTACAGATTGGTTTCCAGCAGAAGGACACTACATTCTTCTGCAAGCAATTCATTTAACAACAATTATCACGTGGTTTGTAAATCCTGAATTTACTAGTGTACTAAGGCATTTGCACATTCTTTTTCTCTCTCCCACACTCATTTTTTTTTCTCATTCTAGAAATAATTCACATTGTATACCCCTACTCTAGAATTTGGCTCTTTATTTCATAATTGTCAAAGTTTAAATATCTCTGCAGGGCTGGGGGTTTAGCTCAGCGGCATAAGTGCCTGCCTTGCAAGCAAGCAGTCGTGAGTTCGATCCCTGGTACCGATAAAAAGGAAAAAGACAAAAAAAAAAAAAAACAGTAAAAAAAAAAAAATATCTCTGCAGTATTTGATATCAATAATCATAATATTTCAATATGAAGTAAAATTTTGACTTAGATATTATAAGGAATTTTTTTAAAAATGCTTTTTGCAGGGCTGGGGTTTTAGCTCAGCCGCATAAGTGCCTGCCTTGCAAGCAAGCAGTCGTGAGTTCAATCCCTAGTACCGATAAAAAAAAAAAAATTAAAAAAAATGCTTTTTGCAGTTCTAGGGAAAAATTAAAACTATAATTCAAACATATTTCAGTTTCAGAGAAGCAGGACAGAGTGACAACAAAAGACTTTGAAGCATGAAACATTAGGATGAAAATCTATGGGGGAAGTAGAATGGTGTAGGAGCTTACAGGGTGAAAGGGACAATGTATATTTCCAATTGTTAAAGCCCTTCCTGAACTTTTTAAATGCTGTGCCTTTTAGATTCTATTGGCTATGTTTAAAAGAAATTTTATTTTGTAAATGTCAGTATTTACAGTTTGCCAGAAATTATATCTTTTGCAGCTCTTTAAACTATGATGAAAAATTCTGCATGTCAACGTGAAAATGGTGAGGGTGTAACCCAATTTTTCAAAATCCTTTCAGAAACTATGTGGTGAAAAAAAATTGTAATGCTAACAGCCACTGCTCTACCCCCACCCCCAGCACCTCACGTAAAAGAATGATGAGGGAATATGCCTGGTGCCAGCTCAGAGGGGCAGACATGTTGTTCTGCT